TTTTTTATTTTTTTGAGTCCCTAAACCACTATCCAATTAGTACTTGATCCTGAGCAGCTACTTCCGGGAAACTGCTGATAGAGCTTTTCAGAGGAAGCCAAGGCACACAAGGCCACTACTGTCTAACTAGTGTAGTTTTGGTGCCCATGGCTGCTGTGTTCCATTCGCATTTTATATAAATAGTATGCTCTAGAGGGGAGCAACTGTCAGTTTATAGATTTTCAGTGATGGCTACTTAACTGTGGATTAATATGAGCTCCCTATTCTGGTCTTATCTGAATATCTCCTTCGATTAAGAGATCTACCTGATATATGTAGGTTATCCATAAAGAGAGACATCTGCTCTAACAATAAACAAGAGCTATCCATCGTATCAATCTCCCCAGCACTGAATCTGGATGATATCACAAGAGAGTTTTCAAATTCACAGGGAATGGGCAGAATCACTTGGGTGCATTGCCCCAGTGACCTCCTTTCTGGGCTGGACATGAGATGAGGGGGCATGGATGGAGTCACTTCCACTGAGTATACCAGGAAGAGCCGCTGCTGAGCTAGACAGCTTGTTGGTGGTTCAAATTGGCAGCTGTCTCATCTGTAACTAAACAGCTTTTCCTTCCATCTGTGCTATGTTTGTCTTAGCCCTTGATCACGTTGGAGGGAAGCATATCAGTTAAGTTTCTTTCTGAAGGGATGAACACCATCACAGTGCAGGTCTCAGCTGGGAATGCCATCCTGCAGGACACGAAGACCATTGCAGTGTATGGTGAGTGCTCCTCCTTGCTGATCCATCAGCACTCTTGTGCTCAGATGAGGTTGTCCAGTACCAGGGTGCTGGAGGCCATCCAGCCTGTAACCTTTCCCTAGAGAAGAGAGGGCTACAGTTGACACAGAGGTGAGAAAAGTCTGATCTTCCCCTTTAATGAAGATGTGGTCCACCAGCAAAATACTTATTCTGCTGTGGACACCAGACCCCAAGGGTATTTATAGTTTTGGTTCCTTTAGTTGGCTCTCATGCATGTAGGACAACTTTTCACTCACTCACCTCAATAGGGTAGAGGGGGTTTTATTTAGTGTAAAACTAACTAATTCCATTTGAAATTCTAGTAGTATTTGAACAGCTAAAATTTGTTATGACAGCAAACAGTTAATGTTGAAGATTTTTTCTAATTCCACTTTAAAATTCTTGATTATTAAAAGGAGGCCACAAGTGTCAAATACTCTAAAAATCTCTTATACAAATGAATATTATTTTAAAAAAATAAACTCTGCTTAATTAAAAGCAATGGGTGGGTCATAACAACCAAATGCAGTGCCTAGTCATAGATTGGATATGGGTTTGAGCAAATGGCTGTACAGAACAATTTTGTGATCAGTTGGGGAAAATTTGAATATGGTCAGAGTATTAGACAGAATGAAATTTAACTGAAATGAAAAGATGGAAATCATTGATGGAAAAATGGAAGATTAAAAAACAGTTTCTACAGATTGATCTCGTTTTGATAATTTTTTATGCACAGAAAAATGTTCAGATGGCTATGCAGTAAGTGTAACTAGTGGATGATAAAAATGTAACGTTCTATCATTAATACAGAAATAGTACATATATGTTGTGAAAGATTGAAATTTAAAAATCAGACAAGAATTTAAAAATGAATATATAGAGAAAGCAAGTGCTGTGGAGAGAGAAAGTGAAAGAGAGATGGACGAACTAGCTTGTGGTCTAAATTATATTGATTGCCTCATTTTCAGAATTAATTGATCCTAACAAGATGAGTTAGGACTAGATTTTTCAGGCGGGAAGCCCATCCTCTTTTTCATTTCTCACCTTGCCAAATGGACCTTCAAATTCAGAAAATGATTGATATGCAAATTTGGGCATGTCAGAGGATCAAAAGGCCTTAAGGACACAGTTCCTCGTATGGCTGGATATTTGATTTCATAATGTTTCCTTTCTCGCTCTGGTAGAGACTTTATCAGCTGCAAGTTGTGAGTGGAAGTAAACAGGGCTGTGGTTTTTCTAACAAGTTTCCATCAGGGGGGCAGCCTGTTGGCCAGGAGCCCAACCAGCAACTGTGTAGAAGAGAGAGCTTTTGGTGCTCTTTCCTGTCTGTGTGCTAGGAATGCTTTTACTCCTCAAACCACCCCTGGTATAAGGTGCATGATAGCATTATCCCCATTGTTCGTAGACGTAAAGACTTTGCCCCAGCTAATAAG